CGTAGATACTTGCAATTTTCACTGGTTGTTTATATTTGCATTTTCTATACGCACGATAACATTTTCAAAATATTATGATTTGTTTTGAACTGTTTAGGGACATTTTCATTTTCCATTTTTTTTTAGTTTTTTTTCTAGAAATATCAATAAAATAATATTTGTTGATTAAAAAAGCTTGAAAATTTAATAGAAGGCTCCTAGTATATTGTTTCAAAGGCAGATGACAAATATTAAAAATCCTTAGTCACAATTTTTTTTTATAGGCATTTAAAGTTCAAAAATTGACAAAATATGGAAAAATCACGAAAATTAGCAAATTATTTTGAGTTAAGAATTCGTAAAAATTTTTCTTTTTAAATCTAAGATTTGAAAATGTAATACAAGATTACTCATAAGTTTGTCTACCTTTATCAATATAAAAATCTCTACCGGAAAGTCAAATTAAATTTTTATGAGCGTTTGAAATTCAAATTTTTACAACATTGGGCATTCACTCGATTTTTTCATGTAGCGATTTCCTTATTTTGTTGTACCTAATTCAAAAACGAATAACTGTAGGTACATGAAAATGTATTCACTGGATGTTGATATTAGCATATCCTATACGCCTTACAATTTTGAAATTATTTTGACTCTTTGAGCTGTTTACGGACATTTACAGTTATAATTCTTTTTAGTTTTTTTTTTTCTATAAATATTAATAAAGTTTTATCTGTTGGGCTAAGAAGTGTAAAAATTAAATACAAGGCTTCTGATATATTGTTACAATAGCAATTAAAAAATATAAAAAATACATAGGCACAATTTCTTTTTATAAGCATTTAAAGATCGAATTTTGACAAAATTTATCAAAATCTCGAAAATTATCAATCATTCTAATTAATAAATTATAAAATGTTCAGTTTTTATAGCTAAGGATTGAAAATTTAAAACAAAGGTTCTCATAAATAGTTCATACTGTAATCAAAAAATCGAAAAAATATATTTACACAGTTATTTTTTACAGACATTTTAAATTCCAATTTGGACGAATTTACATATTAAAAAACCTAGAATAACTATTTTAGTTTTTTTGTTGTGATTGAATAATATTATTCGTGGGTACTTGAAACTTCTAAAGTGTATTATTATATATCTATGATAGCATCACGGTTTTTGTTGATGTATAACGCGTTATAAGTACCTAATGGATATTGTGATATGATTAATTTGGAATTTATTATAGGTACCTATTTTTTGTTTAATACCATAGATATGTATATAATATGTCTTATACCTAGACTGACATACCGTCTCCGCTCAGAATCGTTTTTCTTATACAATGATAATATATCGTTGAATTCAAATTTAATATCATCCATTATACAGTGACCCACTTGTAACCTACTGTACAGCAGAGCGACACCCACTTGCCCACCTTTTTTTTTATTTAAAATAATAAAATATATAAAATTACAATTCATTAGGGATAATGGATAAAACAAATTTAAAACAAGTGATATGCTTTTTTAAGTTTATTAAAATATATTTTAAATTATATTTACAATTGAAGGTATAGGTATATAATCAATATTGCTCATTATGGTACCGCAAGACAAAAATAACAAGTACCTAAATTTAACTTTTCAATTTGGAATTGTTATTCATTGATTTCGGAAGATTTACCTAGGACTAATAATGCAGTATAGGGATGGCATAATTTATTGTTTTACTTCAATTTTGAATCAATGCCATCCATTGGCGTAATTAAGGGGGGATTTGGGTGTCGTATTCCTCCCCCCCATAACTGTTTTTTTTTTTTTAATTTTCAAACACTAGTATATAAGACTAATTTTATTCATGTATATTTTATAGATAATACAAAAATCACACGAATCTCCATAATATTATATAATCATCCATCAATATTATCAAACAATATTATACCCGCTAAAAATAAGTGATGGATTTTCCACATTATCGGTTTATCGGAATATTCCCAATCGCAACGACTCTCAGGACTCCGACCTCCGTTAGTCTGTTACTATGTTCTCATTTGGTAATAATCGGCAGAGTCGTGTTTAACGGGAGCCGGGAGGCAAAGGGGGCAACTGCCCCTTTATCATTTTCATATTTTAAGAACGGAGTAAACATATTGTTAATATCAATAGGAATTATTCATTATTAATTATTATATTATACTTGGACGTTTTTGGTGAAAAAGGGTATGTCAGTTTAAAAAAAAGTAAATATTATTCTTTCATATTGGCGATTGAAAGTGAGAAGATGTAACGTTGACGCTGTGTATCATTTAAATGTTATTTTACATGTTCCCCGTTACAGATCCACCACCCGCCGGATTGATAAGCTTTCAATCGGCAATAGTAGATATTTTTACGCCGGATCGACTCTTGGCACTGACATTTAGCTAACTCGTTTCTTAAGAATATCATCTATTGAGATGGCTATATTTTATAAGTTATTTTTAGAATTTATACAGTGATATTAAATAGTAAACAAATATTAAAATCTATGCAGAAAAACGTATTGATATTTATCCTGAAGATATTGAAAACGATTTCATAGAAGAAGTTATACAATTTAAAGATATAATTTGTAACTTTTCTATTGAAAACGAATCATCATCTGTGCTTCACATTTTAATAAAGCTCTCATACAATCTCAGCTTTCTTCAACATTCCCAAATGTTGAAATAGCTCTAAGAATTGTTTTGCTCTCTTCCATACTCTAATGTCACTGGGGAACGTTCTTTCTCAGTTCTGAAGAGTGAAAAATTACCTTAGATCATCATGATCTAATGAAAAACTTTCGGCACTTTCCATATTGAGTATAGAGAATACAATATTAAAACAAATAGAATGGGAACAAAAAAATTCATAAATTTGCTTCGGGAAAAATTATCAGAAAAAAATTGATCTAAAACTGTTATATTCAAATAAAATATATTGTATTTTAAATAGTTATTTTAATAATCAATTTCTCATAATAAAAATAACTATTTTTTTTTTTTTTTAATTATTTTCGAAATTATAGCAAAGAGGCATTACATTTATTTTGCCCCAGGCGTTTTTAACTCTTAATCCGTCGCTGATAATCGGCTCTATTAGCTGCACTCCTCTGCAGTCTGCTTAAAGTGCTTAATGAATTAGCATTAAGACCACGTAGAGTGCTTTTATTGTGATTTGTGATGTAACTGCATCTAGTATCTAGGACCTAGGTATCAATAAAGTTAATGTTTAAGTGTACCTAAATGTGAATATCTAAATATTATGTTATTATTTATTTTAATGTATAGTGTATACCTACAATATTACATAGGTACAGATCATAATGGTTGTATACTTGTATTGAGAGGTGCTTATTGCTTAAATGATTAAAAAAAAAAAAAAATGTTGAGGGGGGAAATGTACATACATTTCATCCCCCCCCCCCCACAACCATAAACCAAATTACGCCTCTAATGCCATCCAAGTATTTAAAAAGTCATATCTGCTTTGAAGAAAAAGAAAATACCTATAAACAAAGTAAAACTTAAACAATATACAGCTGGCGAATGTCCCCTGCGAAAAAAAAAATAGTTAGACAAAGTACAGCGTTTGAATATTTACAAGGAATAGTATTTAATTTCCAATATTGCAAATATAATATTTTACAATTAAAATTAATGTGATATCTAGAACAGCACGAGAAAAACAAATTGCGATAAAAAGTATTAATGTCCAAGGTTTTGACCGAAACAATTTTTGTGTTCAAGGTTTTGACGGTAACAATTTTTTGTTCAAGATTTTGACGTTCAGAGCTTTGATGGAAACTACTTTTTTGTTCAAGATTTTGACGTTCAAAGGTTTGACGAAACCTATATTTTTGTTCAAGATTTTGACGTTCAAAGTTTTGACGGAAACTATTTATTTGTTCAAGATTTCGACGTTCAAGATTTTATCGTTCAATATTTTGACGTTCAAGATTTTGACTTTCAATTGTTTGACATTCAATGTTTTGAAGGCCTCCCTGCATTGTGTATTGAATTCCTGTGATGTTACTGATTGAGTCATTGATTATGAGGTAGTTGTTTGGAGTTGTTTCTTTGTTATGTAGGTAGTATATATAACACAGCATTATATATTGCCAGTGCTTCGGCTGTATAGATCAGGGGCGGATCCAGGGGGGTGGCGCAGGGGGCGCGCGCCACCCCCTCGGCTTTTATTTAGTTGAAAAATTACATTTTAATTACAATTTAAAAATTGTAAAATGTTTTTATGAAATTATTGTGTGTAGCGTAATGACGTACTTTTTAATAAATAATAATAAGACGTATTTTTATATTCCGCATCGCCGGACGGCGGTTCGAGGTTATTTCTAGTTTCTAGTGTTTCTACATGTGTAGTGTTTAGTGTTTACGTATTATTAATATTATCTTGATAAGTATTTGAATTATATCTAAAAATAAATATTCCATTCATATTATTTTCGGGCCACGACGCGCGACGTACGGCACAGTCCCCGTTATCGTAATAATTGAAATAGATATCTATACACATTATATAATAATATAATATAATATAATTTCTATAGAAATAATAAAGTTTTTCAATGTTTCAGCTAAAAGAAATTTTATTTTAAAAAAACATTTAGGGTATCAGCTGACTAGTCACTGCATAACTCGCTGGATTGAGAGGCATGATTCTGTATTACAATTTATAAATGACCTTCCAATTATATTGAAAAGTTTAACTGAAATTTCTACATGGCATGATATATCAACTTCATCAAAAGCCAATTCATTGTGTAAAACTATACAAGACAGTGAATTTGTTATGTGTATTTTCTCTTTAAATGACATAATGTGTCTAACACGACCTTTAAGTATATTACTCCAAACTAAAAATTTAGACCTTTTTTCTGCTACTACTAAAATAAAAGAACTTAGAGAAGTACTAAGTACAAAACGAAACGATGCAAATCAGTGCTTTAATATTATATATAATAATGTTGTTGAAATGATGTCAAAATTAGGCACTGAACTAAAACTTCCAAGGACTACTAAAAGGCAGACTTACAGAAATAATATTGAAGTCAACCCAGAAGACAGTCAAGGTTACTGGAGAATATCAATTTATATTCCTATTTTAGATGAAGTAATAAAAGATTTTGATAATAGGTTTTCTAGTGATAATATGCAATGCTTTAATCTTAATTTTTTGATGCCATCGAATCTCATGAAATGTTTCAAAAACACTGAACAGTTAAATCAATCAATTAAAGACATTTCTAATCAATATAGTGAGTTATTTGGTGAATCTATATTTTCTATTGAATAAAAACTAAGAGGAGAATTAAATCTATTGGAAAATAAATTAAAATCAGATACTGACCTAACAACTATAACATCAGCTATAACATTTCTAGACAAGCTTGATTGTGACTATTTTCCAGTATTTTCTTTATTTATTAAAATTCTAATCACTCTGCCAATATCTATTGCTACAGCAGAAAGAAGCTTTTCTTCTCTACGTTTACTAAAAACATGGCTAAGAACTAGAATGAGCGAAGAAAGGTTAACTGGTCTAGCTTTGTTATACATTCACAAAAATATTGATATTCATAATAATATTGAGAATATCATTAATAGATTTGCTAATGATAAAAATAGAAAATTGGACTTTATTTTGTAATTTTATTAACTGTACAGTTTTTTCATATTTACAAGTGCTGAAAAGGTTATAAAACCAAACTTGACTAAGAAAAATTTTATTATAATTTTTGATGATGTGATATGTGGTCCGCAATCTGTAATCAGAGAATCCTTTAGTATTGGCAGACATTCAGGTGCTAGCTCTGTATTTTATTTAGCACAAACATATTCTAAAATACCGAAACAGTTAATAAGAGATAACGCAAACTTTTTAATGATACTGAAACAAGATGATACAAATTTACGACATATATTCAACGATCATTCGTCTGCAGATATGGATTTCTCAGAATATCTTTGGTTTGAAGCACTGAAAAATAAAACCGCAAAGGAATGTACAAAAGGAATGATAAAAATACTAAAAAAAAAATCAACCAAAATTATTACAAACAGATAATGGTACAGAGTTTTATAACAACGAATTTCAAAATATTATGAAAAAATATAATATTAAACATTATTCAACATACAGTAGTACAGTAGCTGGAATGCTTTTGCACCAAAGATATTTCGTATATGTGTCAATAACAATTAAAATGAACTTAAAACCATTATTCTTTCTAGCATGTGTCTGCATATCAATTAAATCAGATTGCCAAAGATCATCTTTAAATCGAGTTATTACACTACGTCTAGGAATTTTGGTTTTTATCAGCTTGTTGCGAGTTACATGGACGAAATATCTTTGGTGCAAAAGCATTCCAGCTACTGTACTACTGTATGTTGAATAATGTTTAATATTATATTTTTTCATAATATTTTGAAATTCGTTGTTATAAAACTCTGTACCATTATCTGTTTGTAATAATTTTGGTTGATTTTTTTTTAGTATTTTTATCATTCCTTTTGTACATTCCTTTGCGGTTTTATTTTTCAGTGCTTCAAACCAAAGATATTCTGAGAAATCCATATCTGCAGACGAATGATCGTTGAATATATGTCGTAAATTTGTATCATCTTGTTTCAGTATCATTAAAAAGTTTGCGTTATCTCTTATTAACTGTTTCGGTATTTTAGAATATGTTTGTGCTAAATAAAATACAGAGCTAGCACCTGAATGTCTGCCAATACTAAAGGATTCTCTGATTACAGATTGCGGACCACATATCACATCATCAAAAATTATAATAAAATTTTTCTTAGTCAAGTTTGGTTTTATAACCTTTTCAGCACTTGTAAATATGAAAAAATTAGCACCTTGTATATCATCTATTATTTTTTTTAATAAAACATATTTTTCCTGATTAGAAGTCTTAGAGTATAAACAAATATTTTCAAATCTTAACCCATTTTCATGTGTGATCAGATTATACATTATATTTGTTTTTCCCGAACCGCTGGGACCAACTAGTATGGTACGTGTAGTATCGGGTAATAACGAACCGTGTCTTGACAGTTTTTTTACTATCCGAGCATCTACATTTATAACATCTAATTTATCTTTCTGTTCAATCAAATCCATTTTTCTTATAAATACTCTATAATTTCCAATTTATAATCAGTTATAGATAACGCGTTCAACTCGTAAGTATAAATCAGTCAAGACTGATAAAGCATTTTATAAACTTCCCTATAAATACTAATGAAAGGTAAAAGAAAAATAGATATGGGTTGTAAAAAGTAAACGGAAACGTACCATAAAAAAAAATGGTATACTAGCAGCGAAGAAAAGAAGAACGTTAAAGAAAAAGAATGGTGGAAAGATACTGATTTTAACACCAGGACAGTCAGGAGGTGTAATTCCCTTAGTACCTATATTTGCAGGACTGTCAGCACTTGGTAATTTGATGTCTCGAGGTGCTAGTGTATAATGCGGTTCAAAATTCAAAAAGAAAAAAAGGCAGTAGTTTGAAATCAAACAAGAATAGGTTAAGAATAAAAAACTGATGATAGACCGCTTTCGTCATAAGATATTATAAAATATGTTGAAAAGTTTAAAATCAATCATTTCCGTGGAGTCTTTTCACGTGATAACTTATCTGAAAAACCGCATTCGATTGAATGTGGTATATTAAACTTGGATATATCTTCAGGCGACGGAAGCCATTAGGTAGCGTTTTATAAAAGTAAGGACAAAGTTGTATATTTTGATAGCTTTGGTGATTTGTCACCACCAATTGAATTACAACATTATTTCAGACAGTTCAAATTAGTATACAACTATTCTAACTATCAAGATTTGAATACGTTCAACTGTGGTCATTTATGCCTTGAATTTTTACAATGTATAAATCTATTACATTAAGTTTGACTGGGAATTCAACTATATTATCTACAAATTATTTTCCATCTCTAAACGTTTACGAGGATTTGGAAATAGCTTTGTTATGTTTAAAAACACGTAATTTATTTCCAAATATAAATTCAACTAATAACCAACTGGAGATAGAAGTAATTCCATTATTAAATCATACACATAAAGTAAAAACGTTTATATTTATTTTGGAAGAAGGATGTTATGGAATTGTAGATATTAACAACAACATTTCGAAAGAGTTATTCCACTTTAATAATGAATGTAGAACACAGCTAACATTCAACGTATCTATTGACCCCATCGATTTTAGAACATACATTAAATGTAATGGAATACTAAAGTTAAATATTCCAAACAGTATAGCATCTGTTTTTGGATTTGAAAAGAGAACCTATGAGCCAATGTATGAAGCTCATCGGTCGGGAAAAGCTGCTAATTTAAACACAATTAACTCTATAAAAGTAATGTGTAATATAGCATATAGATCATTCGACAACCAACTTCAAAGTCATTCAATATATGAGTTTTTCTCGAGTGGGAAAACAGGAACAAAGGTTATTCAATCTTCGCTAAACCTTATATATTACAGATTAAACAAAACAGCTATTCATTCAATAACTGTACAGTTAGTTGATCAAAACAATAATCCCATCGATAACTTTAATGAGACATTGACAGTTGTTCTGCATATTAAACGTCACGAGTATCAAGTATTAAATTTGTATCTCAGATATCAGGATGTACGAGTGTTACTTTTAGTTTAACCGGGAACACAACCATATTATCTGCAAATTATTTCCCGTCTATTAATCTTTACGAAGACTCAGAAATAGCATTGTTATGTTTGCAGACATTTAATTCATTACCGAATATCAACAAAGAAAATAATAAATTTGCTATACAAGTATTTGACCGTAATAATAATATTAATATTAATAATAATGATACCGATCATATGTGGTGTTATATTAAACTGGAAGAGGGGTGTTATGAAATTAAAGATATTAAGCAACGAGTTATGGAACAAATAAATATTTATAACAAACAATTCAAAACCAAGTTAACATTTGACATTTCGGTTGATTCTAACGACTTCAGATCATATATAAAATGCAATGGAATACTACACTTTGAGGTTTTACATAGCATAGCACCTGTACTAGGTTTTGAAAAACGAGTATATAAGCCAGATTATGAAACCCATAGATCGGAAAAAGCTGTGAATTTAAACACAATTAATTCTATAAAAGTAATGTGCAATATAGCTGAAGAACCATTCAACAACAATCTTCAAAGTCATTCGATTTATGAGTTTTTCCCTATTGAAACGACAGGATCGAAAGTTGTACAGTCACCACCAAATTTAATATATTACAAATTGAATAAAACAAAATAATATTGATTCGATAACCGTTCAGTTAGTTGATCAAGATCATAATCCGATTGATAATTTTGGTGAGACATTGACAATCGTGTTACATATTAAACGTTACGGGTTTTGAGATGGGGTTGAAATTCAATATAAACCCGCTACTTCGGATCAGCACAACTAGTCATAAGACTAAAGTGCTACCAGCAACATCAAATAAGATAAAAAAATTAACGGTAAAAAATAAAAAAATTTTACAAGCTCTGGGTTATCAATTAAAGCAGAATGACTGAGAGTGATATTTTAGATAGGTATAACTTCACAGTACGAAACGGATTCTAAAATTACGAAAATTGAATATCATTCATACACACCGTATTCTACATCATTTAATAATAATGATGAAATACGTATATCAATCCAGCAAACGGATGTCTACCCATATCAACACGAAAGCTTTATTTTTTTGGAAGGAATAATTACTGATGCTACAAAAGTGAAACTATCTAATAACGGTTACTCTTACCTTTTTGAGCAAATACGCTTGGAAATCAATGGGATAGAAGTAGATAGCACACGTGTTCTTGGAATCACTAGCTCGTTGAAAGGATACTTATCCGGTACACCAGACAACTATAATTGTTATGAAAATTCTGGTTGGAATTTTAAAAACGCAACGCAATCGGAAAATGAGAAAGGTGAATTTAGTGCTTGCATTCCATTGAAATATTGGCTAGGTTTGTTTGAAGACTATAACAGAATATTGGTGAATTCTAGATTGGAATTAATATTAATTCGAAGTCATAAGCGATTTAAATGCTTTAAGTTGTAAAACTGGTGCAACTGCTACTGAAGGTAAAGTCGTTTTAAACAAAATAGTCTGGAAGGTCCCACATATCAATGTTGACGATGAAGAAAGGTGAAAATTATTGGAACTTATAGAAAAAGAAAAAAGTCTATTTAACCCTTTTAGATCTTTTGAAACTTTTGAATATCCTGAACTCGGAACCACTAAAAAAGTTGTATGGAATTTGAAAACTGCTTCAAAATTAGAAAAACCACGATTTATCATAATTGGATTACAAAAAGGACGCAAAAATGTGTTAACGAAAGATTGTAGTATATTTGACCATTGTAATTTAACAAACGTTAAAGTATTTCTGAACTCTATAGCTTATCCATACGATAATTTGAATTTAGATTTTTCGAAAAATAATTTCACCTTATTGTATAATATGTATACATCGTTTCAAGAATCGTACTATGAAAAAAGTATTCGTAACCCGAGTCCTTCTACTTTTCTGACAAACGCTCCAATTATAGTCATCGATACTTCGAAACAGAACGATTCAGC